GCAGAGAGAGAGGAGAGGCTGCGGTGCGGCCTACCCCGTCGCCGAGGAGGGGGGCACGGTTGCCCTTGGGCACCGTCTTGATGCGCATATTCTTCCCCATCGCCGCCGCCGCCCCTCGGTGCGCGCGCCGAAGAGAGCCCAGTCACGCTCACGCCTCACGCGCTGGCCTGACGCGGCAGCGAAGCGACGCACGAGGGGGAGTGAGGTGAGGTGAGCCGAGCCGAGCCGCGGGAGGGAGGGAGACGAGACGAGAGAGACGAGCGGACCTGCTTTTGTTGTTGCGTAGCGCTGTGCGGGTGCGGGTGAATGACTGATGAATGGTGATCACAATTCACATTCACATGGGAAGTATGGGACATGGCACAGGCCAACAAGCCGGGGGACGGACGCGACTGGGACAGGCGCCTGCTTCCACCGTACCGTCCCCGGTAGCAGTCGAGTACTAGGTGCCGATCCGGCGTGTCGCCCACTCCAAGAGGCCAAGTGTGTGCCCACTTGGATTTTTTTTTCAGCTTTATTTATGAGAATGACGAGTGATTAGGGATCTGCGGCTTGATCATTGTGTGATGACCCATGTCACATACGAATCTACTTTGATGTTTTCTTTTGCGATAACACAGACGTAAACATTTATATACGCATGCATACTCAATTAAGTACACTATAGACAGTTAGGCACACGCCACGCTTATAGTGTTGCTCTCTTAGGCGGTCTGTGGTGCCGAGTGATTAGATTGTTAGCCTAGTTATTTGATCTTTGGACTTGAAGTTTTTTTTTTTTACAAGACTACAAAGTTAGAGACAATCATACATGCCTACATATAGCATCATAAATGGATTGACTTGTTAAATGATGAGCATCAGCGTCGGACGTTCTTCCTTCAGGCGCAAATTTAGTACTGTGAAAGCCAACTAATGTTGTAGTCTCATCCTAGTTCTTTCAGGGCTCATGACATTTAAGTAACCACTCGCTACCTTGAACACCATAGGTAAAGATCGATGATCAGAGCTAAACCCTCTCTAAAGGCCATTGCTTCCAAGATCTCCAGACTAGTGAATTCTTCCCTGACCACCACCGAGGCATCTAAAAAGGACCCTGTGTCAACCCTACTTTACACGATTTGTGGACCAAATTTATGTGTTATCTATTAACCCAAGTTGTACGGGGCTTGTATCCTAGATGTATGGTTTTCATGTTTAGTTTCCCTTATACGCTAGATCATATTATCTTTATACTATTTATGTCAAAGAAAAAGCTTTCTTCATCCCTTCGAAAAAACACTCATAGCTCAATTACCTGGTACATAGTGATACAAGTTTACTTTTCTTTTGATAGATGGATCACTATGAAAACAACGGTATTTTCTCTGTCAGAAGTGCTTATAAATTTGCATTGGAGGGAAGATCTAAGAACAACTGTGGGACTAGCATGTCTGCTGAGAGGAAAATCTATGACGCAATGAGCCAGTTCGCTGGTCTGAAATGTTCAGACCAGCCGGCTGGTTCCCCACTCATGTCACTATTCATCAAACCAGCCAAACAGTATTTTCTCTCACAAAACCAACCAGTTTCAGTTAAGATTCTGCCAGCCGAACGGGACCAATATGGAAAACCCCGGTACCACAAAAGGTAAAATTTTTTATTTGGAAACTAGCCCATAATGGTTTGGGGGTCCAATCAAACAGGCTGCGCCACCACCTTATATATGTTGCAACCTGCCCAATTTGTGGAATGGAACCTGAAGATGGTCATCACGCCATGGTTCGCTGCACTTTTGCATCGGCACTTAGACATGCTTTTACGTCAGTCATGGAACCTCCTTGAAGATTCTGCCTTCACTTATACAGGACCCGATTGGATTCTTGCTCTTCTTAATAGCGCCAACAAAGACATCAGAGTTAAATTGATGCTGCTGTTCTGGAGAATCTGGCACCACAGGCATGATAATGTGTTTGGGACTGGCGAATGCCTCATCTCTGTCTCTGTATTTTTTCTAGAAAATTATCTTCATTCTCTGAAGCTTGGGGGAGACACAACACATCCAGTTAATGCTAAAGGGAAAGATCTGTATACTCCAAATTTAGATTTCCTGAAACAAAATGATCAAACAACAATCCAAAAAAGGTATCTGTCGGTGTTTTTGGATCACCGACGACTAAATTTGTATTTGCGCGTCTGGCTCGAATGGTGTGCTCAGAGGACACAAGGGTTTATATTGGTTTGGGCGGAACGTCCCTACGTCCAGTTCGCTACTGCTCGTGTTACCGGCACTTGGTTTGCAGTAGGGGTTACAAACAGTGAGAGAGGAAAAGGATCACAAGTCTCTGGTGGAAGGAGTGAATCGGGTGCTGAGAGCTCGCTTGCCGCTCAGCCGTGTGTTCGTGTCGTGCTCTTGTGTTTAGTTGTCTCGTGTCGATTGTTCATCCCCTTGTTTGGACACCTTGCTTCCCCTTTTATAGGCGAAGGAAAAGCGCGGGTCACAGACGAGAAAAAGAAGAAGAACGAGAGAGAGAAGAAGGCGTCCAGGGTTCTCCTTCATGCGGGTCCCACCGATCCTATAGACGTCAACATGGACGGCTCCATGTCGCGACCCTGTTCGTCACTGGCGCCATGCGTAGGTGTCACGTGCCGGTCATGGCGTTCCACTCCGTCCCGCGCGGACGTCATGGTGAACTGACACGTCTGTCAGCGTCCGTACGAGGATTAGGTAGAACAATACCGGCACGCCCGACACTGTTCTTGATGTGAATCGCTAGGTATGGCCTGTCACGGCCACGGGTTACATCAAGGCGTGCCAGCCTCTTTCCTAGCGTCAGAGTTTTGACCCAGGCCCATACGCCTGGACCTGGAGTGGTTGGCGGCAGTATGGGTCCCCGTCGGATGAGATGGAACCCGCGTCCTTGAGGTCAGGCGAGACGGAGCCCGCGACCTTGGGCGAGACTGAACCCGCGTCCTTGGGGTCGGGCGAGACGGAGCCCGCACCCAAGGGGTCGGGCGAGGCGGAGCCCGCGACCTTGGGGTCGGGCGAGACGGAGCCCGCACCCAAGGGGTCGGACGAGGCGGACACGCGGCCTTAAGGTCGGGAGAGACGGAGCCCGCGACCTTGGGGTCGGGCAAGACGGAGCCCGCACCCAAGGGGTCGGGCGAGACCTTTTAATACGTCTCGAGCCATCTGGGGGAGTCAGCGTGGACGCTAACTTCTTTGCTTTGGGTATCCCTAATAACGATATCCGACAGTACCCTTGGACACCTCCCCCTCCAGGATGGCTCAAACTCAATGTTGATGTAGGCTTTGACCCTATCACGCGACAGGTAGGCCTGGGTTTTGTTGTTAGGAATCATCTGGGCGGGGTGGTTTTCTCAGGCTGAACTAGTGACCATTTATGTTCCTATGTGGAAGAAGCTGAAAATCTAGCGGCTTTGTCGGGAATCCAAAATGCTCTTTCAACCTCTACGGGACCTATATTGCTGGAATCTGACTGCCTGGCTACTGTACAAGCGCTCAACTGCAATCATCTAAATCGGTCCCCTAGTTGCATCATCATTGAGCAGGCAAAAGAAATGTTGAGTTGTTTTCAAGACTTCAAAGTCACAAAATGTAACGGGAGTGCTAATGGAGTAGCTCATGCTTTTGGGCATTTTAGCAGGAGAGTGTTTTCTTCTTGTTTTACGTCCGAAGGTGTTCTGACCTGCGCGTCGGTAGCCTTGGACTATGATTGTAATCACGCTCATGGTTGAAATATAAGCTCTTTCCTGTGTTAAAAAAAAAGAAAATACACCAAATGAAATAATCTTGATTTCAAAGGAAGAAAAAAAAAAAAGAAATAAACCTAAGGAACTGACCCGAAATTGAAATAATCTGGATAAAGAAATGAACCTAAGGAACTGACCCAAGATTTTACATCGGTGTATGCACTAACTTATAATAGTACTTCTATGTTGTATGCTTTCTCTTTCTATGCAACTTTTTTAAAGAAGATACCTACCTAATAAGACACGTAATGTACTGACACAAACAAACTATACAACTACTATCTTCAGGATAGGTAGCACCACTACACATGCACATCACTGGCCGGCCCTCCTCTCCCCCAAATTTTGGTGATTGGCAATTGGCAATTTGGCATCTGCGTTGGGTATTGGGTGCAAAGTGTAAGTAGTCACTGCCACGGTTGTTTAGCAGGATGCGGCATCCGACACAGGTTGTCCCCTCTACCTTTCAGCTGTCCCGCCGGATTTGGTTATTTCGGGGCAAAAACCAGCATACTTGTGCGGTTGTGCCGATTATCCAAGTATGAAGCATCAGGTTGGGCTAGCAGCAAGCAGAAAATTTGCCTACGTGGAACGTGTTTTGTTCGCAGAACATGGCATACCTGGCAACTCGAGATGGAGTCAGTAACAGCCCGAATATTTCCATGTTCCCGGCCTCAACTGGGGCAGGCGTTGAGCAACCATTAACAAGAACCACTTGTAACAACACGAAGCATGGTGTAAAATGACCAGGCACAAGGAACACGCGGCCATGGCAGCATAAATCACGCCGCCCATGATATCGGATAGCCAACGTAAATCATTTTTTGTTTATTTCTGCTCAACTATTTCTCTTTATTTGGAGGAAGACAATTGCATTGTCAACGATACAAAACCAGACTACAATAGGCATTACTGCCGCAAAATTTGATTAGCAAAATGTCGATGCACAGTCTCTACATACACCGACCACTGAAACCCCTAGAGGCTATTAACAGAGACAGAAATTTCCACTTCCCACAGAAATCCCTGTGTCAATCAGCTTCCAGTCACCAAAGCGTCCAGCCGTCCACAAGCTCAAACGCAGTTGTCATTAGGCCTGCTCCACGGTACACACATGTCATGCCTTCCTTCGATCCCTGGGTCTCCACCCCGAGCAGGTTCAGTGTCCACCATGAGAAGCCATGTTCACCCTTGGCTCCATGCAGCGCTTCAGAACTCCAAAGGTTGTAACCTTCACTCTTGCAAATCTACAACCTCAGTATGGTTCGAAGTGTATCACAAAGATTTTGTATCGTCTGCTGCTCTTGCGTTGCTTGTGAATCTTGTAGAGGCATGTCCTCATAGCACCTAAAACATTTACAGAAGACAACGGAAAAAAGCTATTTACTTCAGTCATTGCGAGAAAATAAAAACACTAGCAGCACAGAGTAGTTCAAATGAACTCACGTTTTATGATACGCTAGCGCTTGGGCCAGGTTCATCAGTGTGGGGCTTGTCATCAGCCTGTGGTGCACACCTGGAGGAAGAGGGACCTAATGCACCAAATGCAGTATTAGACTAAGTATCCCTCTGCAAGCTTTAAAAGTTGTCACTCTGCAAAAGCTAAAGAACACATCTCTGCAAAAGCTAAAGAACACATACTTCGTTTTGACCTTTCCGTCCTTTCTTTGCCTGCCCATCACCACTGAACAGCTCCCTAACTGCCTCCAAGGCATCACTTGTACTTGACCCAGCCAGGCCATTTCCTGCTTCATTTTCTGATACTAGAGCTAGTGGTGAAATGTCGATTGCCTTAAGAAATGGTATTGGTACAGTGTTGCCGGCAGCATAAATTGACCAGAGCTACAATGAAGTCATAGAAATGCTGGTGAATTAGACATGGGGCTCAAAGGGGAATGCGTGCAATAGCTAAATCTAAAATACCTTAGCCTCAGACAAGGGAACAAATAGCTGATGTCTAAACCATGAACCATATACCTTGTCCTGAACCGAAAACGCTTTACGGCTCGGGCTGCTGTTCAATTTAGTTGTTGTGTTTGCAAGTCCTGGTGACAAATTAACTTGATTATCATGGCGTCTTATAGTCCCTTCTGCACCAATATGCTTCTTCACTGTTCCAGTTAAAGGTGGGATTGCTTTTGATTCCTGTATGTCAGGACGATCATCTAAATCCCGATCTTTATTGGCATCACTATCACCTGTGTTCTCCGCCCTATCAAGAAACTGTGCATAAGATTTGTGACGGGATAAATAAAAACTTCACATTAAGCTGCTTTGTATGACTGAAAACACAAACAATAAGATAAATGTATGTTTCTCATACCAAAAACTTGAAATAAGTTCCGCTCTCTTTGGATCATGTGTGAAAGAATTGATGCTACCAAGGCCGGGTATGAACTCTATTCTTGGGAAAATGGGTGATTCTGCCACTTCGTCGCCATCTTCAGTATGAACTATCATAGTACCAAAATCACCTATATGGAAAATAATAACAGCCGTTTCAAAGCAAATAGCAAAAGTCAAGAACATAATAACATACTATCTCTGATCCCAAATATAAGTCCATATAGGTTTGTCTTAACTCCTAAGTCAAACCTTTTTAATTTGGACCATCAGTTTGTAATTTTTTTTTAAAAAAAAGTATAGATACAACATAAGACTGATTGTAAAAAATACTTTCATAATATAGATTTCTATAAATATTGTTAGTCAAAGTGCCATATTGGAGACTCTATTGATGTCATAATGGACTTATATAAGGGATCAGAATCAGTATGAAACAGCACTATATTTAGAAGCGTCCCATTCAAGGAACAACAGGATAACCCGCCCACCAAGATATCCATAAAAACTCCTAAGTAGCTATTTGAATAAAATCCATACAAAGTGTTATGAGCAAGCCATAGAAATATGTAATATTGAGTTGACATCACAGTTGCTAGACAAAAGACTCAGAAGAAAAGGCAGTTTTAATCTTACATGTATTGTTGGCATTCAAAAGGAATGCCAAGACTCGTGTATTAGTTAAACAAAGAACTCACAAAAAGGAAATTTACCTGCCTGACAATCATTATATGTTCCATGATTCATGTGTTGCTGAGAATTTGTAGGAACAGTTTCCCCATAGTCTTCATTTATTCGAACAGGCACATCTTGCATTGTCTGCAGATACCAAAGTAAATATTAACATCGAGTGAAATAGCATAACCAACCCACACAAAACAGTAACAACTATGTGGCATACGTTGTTAGAGTCAGATAGTTCATTTTGCACAGCAAGTGTGGCTCTAATCTTCTTCGCTTCCTTGATCTTCGCCAACATTTTTGAAGCTCCACTATTGCACTTCTCAATAAATTTGTGCTGCAGAGGGAATTTGGAAGAAAACAGAAACAATGACAAGTACATATGTAAATAAGAGATCACGAAAATGCACCATAAATGTCATCTTTGAGAAAAAATTAAGTACCTTCACCATCTCACTTGCAGCAGGCCGAAGTCTTGGATCTTTTGTTAGACACTTTGCAATAAAATCATGGAAGAGTAGAGACCTGAAGGTCAGGATAACAAGAACTTAGGCCAACTCATGCTTAAAACTTCTATTGCCTTATATTTTTTTTCAGACATGTAGGAGAGCTGTATCACAACAACAACAACAACAAAGCCTTTAAGTCCCAAACAAGTTAGGGTAGGCTAGAGTTGAAACCCAGCAGAAGCAATCAAGATTCAGGCACGTGAATAGCTGTTTTCCAAGCACTCCTATCTAAGGCTAAGTCTTTAGGTATATTCCATCATTTTCAAGTCTCCTTTTATTGCCTCTACCCAAGTCAACTTCGGTCTTCTTCTGCCTCTCTTCACGTTACTATCCTGGCTTAGGATTCCACTACGCACCGGTGTCTCTGGAGATCTCCGTTGGACATGTCCAAACCATCTCAACCGGTGTTGGACAAGCTTTTCTTCAATTGGTGCTACCCCTAATCCATCACGTACATCATCGTTCCGAACTCGATCCCTTCTTGTATGACCGCAAATCCAACGCAACATACGCATTTCCACGACACTTATCTGTTGAACATGTCTTTTCGTAGGCCAACATTCTGCACCATACAACATAGCAGGTCTAATCGCCGTCCTATAAAACTTGCCTTTTAGCTTCTGTGGTACCCTTTTGTCACATAGGACACCAAATGCTTGGCGCCACTTCATCCACCTTGCTTTGATTCTATGGCTAATATCTTCATCAATATCCCCGTCTCACTGTAGCATTGATCCTAAATATCGAAAGGTATCCTTCCTAGGCACTACTTGACCTTCCAAACTCATATCTTCCTCCTCCCGAGTAGTAGTGCCGAAGTCATATCTCATATACTCATTTTTAGTTCTACTGAGTCTAAAACCTTTGGACTCCAACGTCTCCCACCGTAACTCAGTTTCTGATTCACTCCTGTCCGGCTTTCATCAACTAGCACTACATCGTCCGCGAAAAGCATACACAAGGAATGTTCCCTTGTATGTCCCTTGTGACCTCATCCATCACTAAGCCAAACAGATAAGAGTTCAAAGCTGACCCTTGATGTAGTCCTATTCTAATCGGAAAGTCATCTGTGTCTCCATCACTTGTTCGAACACTAGTCACAACATTGTTGTACATGTCCTTAATGAGCCCGACGTACTTCGTTGGGACTTTATGTATGTCCAAAGCCCACCACGTAACATTCCTTGGTATTTTTTCATAAGCCTTCTCCAAGTCAATAAAAACCATGTGTAGGTCCTTCTTCTTCTCCTTGTACCGACTCCATAACTTGTCTTATTAAGAAAATGGCTTCCATGGTTGACCTTCCGGGCATGAAACCAAATTGGTTCATAGAGACCCGCGTTATTGCTCTCAAGCGATGCTCGATAACTCTCTCCCATAGCTTCATAGTATGGCTCATCAACTTAATTTCCCGGTAATTAGTACAACTTTGAATATTCATTTTATTCTTGTAGATCGGTACCAATATACTTCTCCACTCGTCAAGCATCTTGTTCGATCGAAAAATATGCTTGAACAGCTTGGTTAGCCATACTATAGCTATGTCCCCGAAGCATCTCCACACCTCGATTGAGATACCATCCGGTCCCATCGTCTTACCTCCTTTCATCCTTTTCAACGCCTCTCTGACCTCAGATTCTTGGATTCTCCACACAAAGCGCCTATTAGTGTCATCAAAAGAGTCATCCAACTGAAAGGTTGTGTCCGTATTCTCACCATTGAACAATTTGTCAAAATACTCTTGCCATCGATGTCGGATCTCATCCTCCTTCACCAAGACATGCTTCCTTTCATCCTTAATGCGCTTAACTTGGTTGAAGTCACCTGTCTTTCTCTCACGAACCCTAGCCATCTTATAAATGTCCTTCTCTCCTTCCTTCGTACTCAAATGTTGGTAAAGATACTCGTACGCTCTACCATTTGCCACACTTACAGCTCGCTTTGCAGTCTTCTTTGCCACCTTGTACTTCTCTATGTTGTCCACATTCCTGTCATGGTACAAGCGTCTATAGCATTCTTTCTTCTCCTTAATAGCCCTTTGGACTTCCTCGTTTCACCACCAAGTATCTTTAGCCTCGCTTCCACTTCCTTTGGTTACTCCACACACCTCTGAGGCCACCTTCCGAATGTTGGCTGCCATCTTCTCCCACATGTTGTTTATGTCCTCTTCTTTCTTCCAAGAGCCCTCTTTGATAACCCTTTCCCTAAATACCTCTGACGCCTCCCCTTTCAGTTTTCACCACTTTGTTCTTTCAATCTTTAGCTTGTTTATCCCTACGGGCACGCACCTGAAAACGAAAGTCTGCCACCAAAAGCTTATGTTGAGAAACAACACACTCCCCTGGTATCACCTTGCAACCCAAGCATGCTCGTTTGTCCTTTCTTCTTGCGAGGACAAAGACAATCAGTGTTGTCCACTACTGAAGGTCGCTAGATGAGATTCTCTCTTTCTAAAGAAAGTGTTGGCTATCATCAAGTCAAAAGCTACCGTGAAGTCCAGAACTTCCTCCCCCTCCTGATTCCTACTACCATACCCAAAACCTCCATGAACTGCCTCGAAACCTGAGCTTGTAGTACCTACATGCCCATTAAGGTCTCCTATAAAAAGCTTCACTACTAGGTACAGCTCTAATCAGGCCATCTAAGTCTTCCCAGGGCTGTCTCTTAGCACTCTCGTCGAGGCCTACTTGGGGGGCATACGCACTAGTTACGTTCAAGACCATATCACCAACGACAAGCTTGACTAAGATAATCCTATCTCCTTGCCTTCTCACTCCCACCACACCATTCTTTAGGCTCTTATCAATCAAAACTCCTACTCCATTTCTATTCGTGACTGTCCATGTGTACCAAAGCTTAAAACTTGTATTGTCCACCTCCTTCGCCTTCTGATCCTTCCATTTAGTCTCTTGAATGCATAATATATTTACACGCCTCCTAGTCGCGGTATCAACTAATTCTCTTAACTTACCTGTAAGCGACCCTACATTCCAACTACCTAAACGGATCCTAGTTGGTTCGACTAGCTTCCTTACCCTTCGCACCCGTCGACTCAGATGTGAAGACACTTGCTCATTTTTCACTACACCCGGGCGCTGATGTAGCGCACCACTAAGGAAGCGACGACCCGATCCTTGCTCACTTGACACCATGCCCAGACCGCGACACGGCGCGTCACCAAGGGGGTGCCGACCTGGCCATTGCCCCTTTAACACCATACCCGGGTTCCGATATAGCGCGTTGCTAAGAGGGTTACGCCCCAACAGTTTTCTTTCGGGTTTCATCTCCATTAGAATGGCTAGATTTAACGTTGGCTCGCCACGTCTATCACAACCCTCCTCCTTTACCAGGGCTTAGGGCCTGCTATGTTGAGACAACATAGGCGGAGAGCTGTATCATTGCATTAAAAGAAGAGAGTTCCAACACACACACCAGTGTCATGACAAAGACATACGTGTCTAAGCAAAATGTTAAAAACAAATTTAGTAGCCAATAGTTGTGCAATTCCCTCTTTCAGAAAAGATATTTATGCTCTAGATAAGTTAGGGGTCCTGAATATGGTGTTTCATATATGTCGAGGAGACTGATGTTTTCAAAGCCTATGAAATCTTAAAGCGAAGGACAAAATTTGGCAGCTTCTTAAACCAAACTGTTAAGGGTGTTGTTGCTCAAGGTAGCTGGCCCTTGACTACGAAGCTCATAGCTTGGGTTGGTAATGGCGTGGGGTTTATCCCCTGGACGCCCAATTGTGAAGGGGATGAGATTAAGATGAAGGGGGTGAGATTAAGAGAGAACAGGGAGATTAGGAATAGGTTTCTTCTTGCTTGATTCAATCTCAGCATGTTACATGATATAAAAAGGAGTCTGGCTCCTTGATAACTGCCCAGCCATAACTACTAATCCCCAACCAACTCCTAAATGCCATTGATCACAGCCACCTGGCCTCCTCGGGCTCCTGCTTTGCAGCTGGCTGCGCATGCACCTCCGTGGGTTTTAACCCCTAACTTAACTGCCATTGATTACCATCTAAGCCTGCTCCTCCTTGGGTACGCCCCTGGTAGCATCTCGAGCCCTGGGCCGATGCTGGTACTGTTGGTCCCACATGACATCTCTCCCTCCCTTGAGGAGCAGCTCGTCCTCGAACTGCAATGCTGGATAGCGGTCGAGGAAGTTGCTGACGTCTTCCCAGGTGACAGAGGCTGCAGGTTCCCCCTTCCAGTGAACGAGAACTGGACAAACACCCCGGACAAGGTGTGTGCGGGCAGCACGTTCTGGTTTGGGCATCGTAGCACCATGGTGGGTGGGGGGAAGCGCTGGTGGTGCAGCCGGAGGGGTGCCGACGAACTTCTTCAGGAGCCAGCAAACCGGATGGTCCTTGTGCCAAAAGGACATGGCGAAGGCCGCAAAGTCCCACAGGATTGGGCCGAGTGTGGTCAGCCATTGGGTACCCAGCACCACATCGTACCCCGGCAAGGGGAGTGCGAAGAAGTCGGCGAAGAATTGATCGCCGTTGATGGAGAACGGCGCCCGCCTATACACGCCTGTGCACGGCACGCACTCGCCACTGGCCATCGTGACGGACGCAGAGCTGCAGCAGACTATGGGAAGTCCGGTGCGGCTGGCAACCTGGTATCGGCTTCCAGGCGCTCCTCTTCCACCTCTGCACCACCACCAAAACCAGCAGCCACCACGCCTTCCACCCCAGCCTCACGGAGAAAAGGTCCCTGGAAAAGGATTTGAAAAAGCTGGGCCCCTCTCAAATGGAAATTCTTCCTTTGGTTAGCCATCAATAATTGGTGTTGGATGGCTGATCGCCTTGCCAAGCGTGGGCTGCCCCACCATCCTGCTTGCCCTATTTGTGATCAGGCTGAGGAGACAATCCAGCACATCCTTGTCTCCTGTGTTTACACTTCGTTTTTTCACAAACATTCCATGGCGGCTTTGACACCTCCATGCAACTCGTTTCTTCGGATGGTGGGGAAACACCATTAGAAATACACCTAAGGAGATACGCAAGGGGTTGAATTCCCTTATTGTTTTGGTGGCCTGGAAAGTATGGAAATTTAGGAGTGTCTGTGTGTTTAGGGACTTTCCCCTGATATTCAGAGCCTTCTACAAAAGGCCGCTGATGAATGTAGCTCTTGGTGCATGGCAAGTGCTTCTAACCTCCAGGACATGGTCCTAAGGTTGATTGCCACAGAACCTTATAGTTTCTGGTTGGCGTTTGATCTCCCTTCGTCGTGTTCTATAGTCAGTGGTGTGGGTTTTGTATATAACCGGGTTTAGGTGGGGCTGTTTTCGCCTCGCTCTTGTACTCTTGTTTCTCTCTTAATTAATGAAGTGACATGCAGCTCTCCTGCGTAGCCCGAGAAAAAAAAAATAACTAGCTGGAACTTCCATCAAGCTGTACCTAGAATTAGCTACTCTCTCATACAATTCAGACAACAACAAACAACAACATAGCCTCTCATACAATTCAGACCAACAAGGTAAATTTAAGCAGGCAACATAAACACTCTGATCATAGGTAAAAGGTTCGGTCGATTGTAGAAGCCAATCACAAGAGGATGGAGATAGCACAAGAACTCAATTAATAGAAAGGCAGCATTTATTTCTGCTCATTATTTTTTTCACTTTCTATACTATTTAGTATTTACTATATCTTCAAGCTACAATATGCCCCAAATCCACACAAATAGAAAGGAGTATACTGGGAAAATAGTACTGACAACTAACTGATTAAATCCTCAGTTTTCAATCCCAGTAATGGCTTTGTTTGGATGAGTGCCTCTAGTTTCAATAGTTGTTTATCATATTTATATTGATTTCGTTGCAGGTCAAAAGAAACCTTGGCCAGATCCCTATGTCTAGGCACTTAAAAATCTGGTATTGCAAATATTAGATCTGATGAGACCATCCACTATTCAAAATAAGCAAAACAATTGCATTGTTACTAGAAACCACTTACCATTTCTCTTTATCCTCCAGCATTGGTGCTGGTTCACTAGATATCATGAAGATAACCTGAAATAAGGGAAGTGGGAAGAGAGACATTAGTCGGTCTATCAAGCATTCAAGCTAAATGAAGATGAAACAATATATTGATATGTATACCAAATATTTACCAAGGCAAAGTAAAGAAGCAAATGCATCAGAAAGAAAGTAAAGAAATAAAAAGTACAGTGCACCAAAAGATAGATCAGCTTTTTTTATTCTGTTATAGCCTATTAGCCTCATTAACTGCAGATACTAACAGGCATTGCGAAGCATCACTTACTCTCATTGGATGCACAGTGGATCTTGGTGGCATGCCCTACAGTCAGAGATACAAAATAAATAAATGCAATGTCACGACACAAAATTAAAAACAAAAGTGTACAGTCACAAAAGAAAGAAGCAAAGAACAATGTCTACCTCTGCCATCTCAATTGCAGATACACCTAATGCCCAAACATCTACCTGGTGCAGAAAACAAGAACACATGTTTTGGTAAGACAAACTAAAGAAAGAATTCAACTGCCAAAATGATTTTCTCAACATTGCAACCAGTAGACTTGTTTTGGAGGCTTAGTAGTAGGTAATAATTTTTTTTGCTTGAGGAACCATCAAGAGACAAGGAAAAGAAATAATATGTTTTGGCACTGCCATGGGTTCCATAACAATTATTTACTGGCTTTTATGACTTTACGTGTAACCTTGTTCTGCCATATGTAAAGACATTCCACACCCAAAGAAACAAAATATTAAAGAAATCCTGCTCACTGAAAACCCAATCATAAATTTACGGCTACCAAGTCTTTAGAGCAAAAATGGCAACATCCACAAAAGCTGCTAAAATGAACAATTCCGTAGCTGTACACTGTAGAGATGATAGCATGATACCTTTCCATCATAACGACTTTCTTGAATGACCTCTGGTGCCATCCAATGTGGAGTACCAATGAACTGAAAGCATAAACATGAAGGGTCAAATTATGGAAATTAGTGTGCCACTAAAATCTTTATTCTTTCCAAAAACCATTGCATTATTTTTATTTGGTAAAAAGCCATACAGACTGAGCTTAGAAAGCGATGCTGACAGTCTGTTTCACAGTTATTTTACTGTAAAATTGGGACAGTTTTATCCTTGCATTTTGATTGAAGTACATATTAGCGCCCCAACAACATAAAAATCCAAGACACTATGCATGTATGGTGAGATTTGTGTTGTGCGGTCATGATGGATTTGGTCTCAATGCATGGCTGAATGCCAATACGACAAGTCAGTATATGTATTTAGAAGTGTCTGTTTGTGTGTGCGTGTATAAAAGCAATGGATACCATCAAGGAGAGGGCACCAGCTGTTGCCGGAACACTTTACTACGAAATGGTGGAGGGGGCAGTGTAGAACTATTTGTAGCATTTATGTATTGCCATGGTTGGAAACTAGAGAAGTGTAGCAGCCAAGAATGTGTAGAAGAGAAAAAAAAATGTAGAAGTATCAGCAGCAGTAGAAAGGGAGTAGATTGTTTTTTCTTATATTGGTTTCTAGCTAGATATTAATAAATTCCATAGACAATTCTTGTAGTATAGTACTACATTATATCATCGTCCTAGGGAACCTGAACTTGTATTCTAACCTGATTTTCCAAACTCTCACTCACGTACCTCCTCCCAGATCTAGCCAACTATGAACTATCAACTATCCTACCTGATTTGGACTCCCTGTGCACCAACTCTTCCACTAGTGTCAAGCAGAGTCCATAACTTGGAGGTAAGATGACGCCCTGGATAATATTTCCCACTTGGAGGTTCATTGCGATTATGATTTCCACAGACCTATTGGTTTGATATGCTACTGTCACAGTAACCCTCTACGTTCTTGAATAGCTCCACCAAGGCAGCGATTTGCCAAATCGGATGGAGCATCGCAGTCATCAAGAACAGAAAAATTGTTGAGTGGTGGCCTAGGAAGAAGCCAAATGGGGGAGTGAGCAGATTCATAATGGGATATATGGGGACTAGAGGCTGTCACGACAAGAAAGGGAGAAGCAGCAGTGCAGAGAGTATTTGTACAGGAACCACTTCGACTGGGTTCACCAGTATGGGTTTCAAAGAACGGAAAAAATGCCAAGGAATTAGGCGAGACATACTAGATAACAAATATATACTTTCTTATTTTTAATTTTAAACCTAATAGAACATAATGCAGTATGACACTTAAAAAAAATAGTTAGGACTTCACAGCAATCATTTTCCAACACAAACTTGCTTCAAGTTCCCATAAAAGTACCATCATATTGAAGAACTATGCACAAGCACAAGTGGGGCCGCTTATGGTAAACTGGCATGGACAAGTTTCATCGCCACTTCATTTTGTTTGTTACATCGATGTGAAGTTTCTTGAACTATGGATTTGAATGGCAAAACAAACACTGTTTAGAATACCGTGTTGCGCTTTGACATGGTTCTTGTCAGCTGGGCAGCTACACCAAAATCACCTGTTTTCCACATTGTTGTGGTGACACAGCATGCCGACCACAGAGTCAGGACATGGAGAAATATGAGTGCTAAGAAATGTAAACTAAAAATTTTGAAGAAAACAAATGCGCTTACCCAACTTCACCTCGCCTTGCTCAGTTAGAAGAATGTTGCCACCCTTAATATCTCTATGAACTTTAAAAATGGAGTGCAGGTAAGCAAGGCCCTGGAGAAGAAAATAAGCACGCAAAAGTTCAATATCCAAAGACATTTAGTTGCCCCACAAGGGAGCAAATACTTCAAATCTGATGCAACTATGTTAGAACCTTTAGTGCTTCTCTACATATATAAGCTATTTGGGATTCATCAAGAGGCTCCTCTGTGATGCCCATCAAGTCGGCAACACTTCCACCACCACAGTACTCCATAACTATCTGTAAGTTGAGAATCACATTTGCATCAAGCCCATGTTAAATGACTTGACAAGTAGAGAAATCTCACAATGATAGAATACTTTTGTTATTTCTTAATGTATCAGGCTATTTGATTGTACCCATAGGTAGTCCTCTCCTTGGTAGCTTCCAAAGTAGCGGACAACGTTTGGATGGCTACATTGCTGGAGCATCTCAATTTCTCCCCGTATGTCTTCATATCCTTCTTCCTGAAAACCAGAGATACATACTTATATTTTGGAAAAATGCAAGGACTCAGAAAACAGACAGCAACCACATTTATGAGATTCTCTCACAATTAAGCCCATGCAAACAAAATGCTCACAACAAAAGCAATATGGTTGCCAAATAAGATATGTCTCGGGTGGCCTTTCAGAATATTCACAGAACTTTGTCATAGAAAGTTAGAAACTAACCCCTTCTGTTAATGAGATAATCTTGACAGCCACAAGCTCCTGCGTTCTGAGATCCCTTGCTTTGTACACTGCACCATATGAACCTTTCCCTGCATTCCCAATTGAATTTTGCATTTCGCAAAACAGCTCAAAGCTTCAGCCATTCTACAAGTAGACATATAGAACTAATGAAACAATAATTCCAGAGCAAGAGTCGCACCAAGCTCATGGAGCAGCTCGTACTTGGTGGAAGGATCCTCTCTGGTAACACTGTCTGGTGCCGAGCTCACTGATGGCTTCCGCCTTGAATGCTGCTGTTGTTGTTGCTGCATCAGAGGCGACGGTTGCCGGAGCTCCTCTGTCTGCTCCACCGCTGGACTCCAGAAAGAGGACCCGAAACCCCCGCCGCCGCCAGAAGCAGATTCATGGGAACTGGAACCCCCGCTGGTGTGGCGAATGAAGGTGCCAGAGAACGACCCGCGGGGGCTCGACGGGCTCCCTGGTCGGCGGATGAATGTGCCGGAGACCGACTCCCGGGGGCTCGACGGGCTGCTGGTCCGGCGGATGAATGTGCCAGAGACGGACTCGTGAGGGCTGGACGAGCCCCCCGAGCGACGGATGAATGTGCCGGAGGCGGACCCGCGAGGGCTGGAGGAGGTCCCCCCCGAGCGTGCGGTGGAGTGGACGACGAAGGTAGAGTATGGGTCGTCATCGGTAGCGCGGGGGCTGGAGCGCCGCAGATCCAGGAACGGAGATCGAGCGGAGGCCGGGGTGTCGCTCTTGAAGACCACCGTAGCGGAGAGGGAAGCATCGTCGGGGTCGGAGGAGTATGGGTCCTCGTCGTCGTCAAAGGAGGGGCCGCCGAAGTCCTTGGGGAGCCGCTGGAGAAGCGGAGGCAGCGAGGAGGGGTCTTCCTCCTCGTCTTCCTCCGCCCGCGTGGAGGGGCCCCTGCCGCCCCTGCTGCCGCGGGCGTCGTCTTCGTCGTCATCGCCGTGGACGACAAAGGTTGAGTAGACGTCGGTTCTCTTGGTACGCGACCACGGCGAGCGCGGGGAGAAAGCCATGGCGTGTCACGCGAGGTGGGAGGAGACGGTGAAGGTGCTCGTCGGGAATGGCAAATGGGGAAAATTGTTTAGTTGGAGCCAGTTCACTCGAATCTGGCAAATATGGGTCGGGCTCGGATGGGCCATCCCATTCTAGGCCCACGTGACAAAGAGAATCCGGTCAAATTCTTCCTTCCCGCTAGGCCCACACGGCCACACCCAGTCACCCACAGACAGCTTGTTGATATAACTGTCATCTGCTAATTGCACTTAGCACGCGAGATCATTTTGAAAAGAAACAAACAAACTGAAATGCAATACTGTTGTAGAACTTTTATTACCATATACCCTATCACACATGTGGTAGGGCCAGACCATGATTATATTCGAAGAAGAAATATATTCTGCAATCCACAACGTAATAAAAATAGCAAATCATCGAGAAAGGGCTGATGAACAAGAATCATGTCAAGGGTTCATATAACTGTCATCTGCTATGCAGAACCAAAAAAACATCTCTTTAGGGTTTGTTACTAGGTCAATAAATTGCGAATGCAAATTTCTCCCATATACAACTAAAGTTACATGAGCACATTCCACCTGAAACAGTAATGCTAAAAACAAACTTTTGATTTGAATGGTTGAATCTACAAGTTATACGGTTTGTTTCCAGAATCTGATCGATCTATCGTTTCCACAAATAACAAAAACTGGCTCAATTGGGGAGTGGTCGAGCCATCTAGGAGCACCAGTGCTGCCAGAGGGCAATCTTGCAACCTTTTCAGCAGTAAGTGCATCCCAGACGACAACCTGATGAGTGAAGTATCGTAGTTAAGCTATATTTTTCCCTGCTGAAATACAAATATATATACTGTTCTCAAATTGGAATTTACCTCATTGTTTTGTTCATCAACTGATAGCACGAATTCCTCGGTTTCATTGAAGACAGCCTGGATAGTAAGAACAGTTATTATCATATTTATTGTTTATCATAGCAAGTTAGGTATGTTGTTATCCTTAGCTGCAAGCTCAAACCAGCCTATTTTCGAATTAAAAATATTGCAATTTTGTTTCCTAAATTATTTCACGCTGTGTATACATTGACAAAAAAACAGAATCTGGGTCTCAGATTCCCCGGTACAGCAAAAATCGTGTATATATGACACACGAGTAAATTTAAATCAGGAAAAAACGATAATCTTACAGAAACACAGAGAAACTAACCTGACAACGAAATTGTCTGCGTATGACTCCTGCATATTGCTTCACAAGTCGTCCAGTGCCAACTTCCCATAACTTGACACGAGAATCTTTCCCACAAGATAGGACATACCTGAAAGAATACAGTAAACTTCATAACAGATAACCAAAATACAGTGCGCAGTTTTATCAAATCCATGAACATTATCTAAACATGTAGTTCGGGTAGTCAAAGTGCACTATATCAGATTCTTTAGATCAATCTTATATGCAAGTGCATTCACACTGTATATAACTAAAGATGGGGATGGTTGATCCACAGAGCGAACCGTGGTTGATCCACCGATCCATCTAATTAGTATAGGAGCACCGGTTATTCCATTCTATTAGCTGCTGACCCTCTGGGGCTCCAATGGATTTCACGGGTCGCTCCATTCATTGACTTCACACGTCCACAGTTGAGAGGAGGGAGATCGGCATCGTGGTGGCGCAACCAGTTCTATGGCAGCGGCTTGCCGAGACCGCGCTTCTTCTCCAGCATCTTTCGCGTTGACCCGCCGGCGTCCGTCACTGAGCTGCTCCTCAAATGGGCGCGCGAGGTGCACTGGTCCACCCGTCCATGGGCGGCTTCGGCTTGAAGCACCTTCGCCCGCAGGGCCGCATCGAAGGCTCCATCTACAAGCTCCGCCGCCGCGCGCCGCGACCCAGGGCAAACGCGAAGGCCCACGCCCCCGGCCACAAGCCCGTCTCATTCGTCGCCCTCGGCTCCGACGACGACACCTTCGATGGTGACTCCGACGAGGAGGAGGTGGCGGTGCAGAAGCGGGCCCTGAAGCTGGAGCTCATCGACGATGACAGCCCCTGTGCCGCCTCCCCGCACGCACGTGCACGCAATGCGGAGCACAGCGTCCGCGAGCTCTGGCCGAGCGCAGCTGAGCCGCAGCCGCCGCGTGCTCTGTGCCTCTGTCCTGTTAGCTTGATGACGTCATGACTATGTCATATACTTCCTTTTCCTCTTGAAAATAAAACCGAAAATACATAAATACATTTATTTACTCATCCTCATCACCACGGTCCACGCCTAAGGAAGCTCAGCGACGAGTTCGACTGCATCACCGCGGACTCGCGGAGCAGTAGCCAGTGGAGAAGAAGCAGAGGCCGAGTGCCATGACACCGGCGAGGACGTCGCCGAGGAGTCAAGCCGAACAAAAAAACGGGAGAAGTAGTTGCTGTATGTGCTGGCAGACGAAGGGAGAAAGGAAATGGATCGAACCACTGGATCTTTTGGTTCTATGGTTATCAATCCGTTGATCCAGATCCTCTATCCTGGATCAAAATGGGGCCCGTTTGGATAGATTTTATGCACCGGTTCGAAGAACCGCTCCACTGAACCGAACCACCCCCATCTTTAATATAACCACATAAACACTAGACCTTTCAGAAGAAGTCTCAAAAGTGCTTATAGGCAGGTTAGTTGTTTAGTGGTGAAACATTAGGGCAAAGGAGAAAGAGTTGTTAGTTGCTATTCGTGTGATAAAGTTAAGACCTGTCTGAAACACAGGAAATTCACCAGGACATGTTACAAATCATTCAGAATTACTACAAGATTCCCACATTCCAAACAGGGTTTGAGGTAGTTACTGTCTTGAGTCAAGCATACAGCATATGCCTGTCTCTCTGTTCTTCAAGCCAAACAATAACTGGATCTTATCTTGAGGGAAGAGCACCTTAGACAGACTGGTAGCTCGCTTACCTCTCATCTTTGGTGAAAACTGCGCTAGTAGCTTCTGCGGATCCATGTGCTCCAATAATAGGTCGAACACATTCAGCAGATACTCCATCCCAAATGCGCAGAGAACCATCTTTAGAAGCAGTAACATACAAGCTCCCAGTACAAGAGTAGCGTACCTGGCAGTGACATCAGTAAGCACGGCTAGCGGAGTAAAATTAACCTTTGATGAGAATATAACCAATGCAATATAATGCTTGTGAATCAGAAGGAAAGAGAAAAGCTACCTGGTTAATGGGAGAACTAGAATCCTGTGCATTTGCTGATAAGTAGCATGTAAAAGTATTTATATCATATAAATGAGCAACTGGGTGATCAGTCCCTGCAAATAACTTTATCAGTGTCACTTGCTTCCACGATATTCATCAATATATGAAAAATGAGTTATTTTTAAAAACATACATATGTGGATGAAAATATTTGACTATAAGAAAGAAGAAAATTCCATAAGATATGCTTGCAGTATTTTTCAAATGCCCAAGAGAAAGAAACTGTTGATCCAGGAACGAAATCCAATTTCATGGGCCCAAATATCAAATTGTTTTGGTGAAATGATTAAATTACTTTACAGATAACAACTGAAAGCATGTTAACAACTTATAATGCATAAAAATCAGAGCAAATCAAAATGATGTCAGAAATCAAGAATCAGTTAATAACAGCAGAAGTAGAAATTAAATTTAAATTTAGTGAAAAGATCATAGTACCTGCTAAAAGGTAATCCCCACAAGGATGAAAACATACAGATCTAACATTATGAGTATCCTGCCAAGCATTAACAACTGAGCCTGGTTAAATGCAATGAACACACCATTTTACATGATATATAGATAGATTGGGTTGCTAGAATTTACAACCTGAATAACTCTGAACGCTTTCCTCGCATTGGTTTTTGAGAAATCAAAGAATCTGTTGAGCAATTTTTTTCATGTACAAAACAATAACACAGATAGCAATTAATACCACAAAAAAAATCCTAAAAAATAAGAATCATGCTTAATCCCAGTATGAGCACTTCAAATAGACAATTTAACAGCAAGGAGTGTAGACATCAAGGATAAGCATACTTTATTGTATTGTCTTTTGCAGCTGATATCAGTATTGGACTCTCAGGATGAAAATCCAGATCATTGATGGCCTGCAAGAAATCAATCATATTTATGAGCACAGTGGAAATTCGAGCGATGGAAAATAAAGTAAGCAACTAGTGAAAAATGGAGTTGTTTATTAAAAAATTGAATACCATGTCAATGCTCCAAACAGCTCAATAAGCAAATATCTAGCTATAAACTGCATGTGTTAGATGTGCATCCAGTGTGCTAAACGTGAGCTGAGCATGTGTATATAAGTGTGGTGGGAGGTGGATTTGATCTACCCATGCATTTCAGTCTTTATATAATGCAATGATATGCAGCTCTCCGCATATTCAAGGGAAAAAAAATACTGCAGGAGACCTAACTCGGGGGCAATCTTGTGGAAGTGTTGAAAAGAGTCTCATGACCTTGAACAGTAAATAAACCGGCATATATGAACAATACATGCTCACCTGTGTGTGATCATAAAATGTGCGAATCACAGGCCTGGCAGGACCATCTTTGGAGTCCCCTACCATAGTCTGCTTAATTTTAGCAACCTGCAAGAGAGAGCAATAGTGAGTTGCAAGTTGCAAGTTTGCAACTAAAGTACAAAACAGCACAAGCCCACCTAGCACCCGACAAGTTTACCTCAAAAAACTTAATGGATGTATCAGCACTCCCAGTTGCAAAATACTTTCCATCAGGACTAAATTTCGCGCACCGGGCAGCGCTCTACAGAAAAAGTACAATGGTAACTTGATAATAAGCCAATGAACATCAGTAAAATATATGGCTGGGTCAATCTCAAGTTATATACATAATCATGGTACTGTGACAAGTGCAAAATGTGCAAGAATAGTAGTAAATATCCAGATAAGCAGGAGACTGACACAAAAGTTGTTTCAAGTGGTAAATTAGCAAGGGAAAATTGGAATCATACGCACCTTATGGTCAGAGACATGCTTCACCTCGTGCTTGGGGAAGCTCTTGGATGAGCCCTTGACATCCTGCATACTACACAGCACCGGCGTTAACACTCCTCACTAATCACTGTTCAGCACTAGAAAACCACTGCCACTAGGCAACACCACGGGCGCACAAGGTTGGGGTTCACCTGAAATCCACGGCACTGGAGCCGAGCGGCTGCGCCACCCCACCGAACCCGGCGGAGTCGAATGCGGAAGCGGCGGCTCCTCCTCCGCGCTCCGCCGCGAGGCCCTGCGAACCAATAGTGAGGGTTTAGGCCCGTGCAGAACAAATCCTAGACCGGAGGAATGGGAGAGTGGGGGAACCTTGGCCACGAGACGTAGGAGTTGATTGGCGGGGACGGATTCGGCGGCGGAGATGGGGGTCATGGTGGCGGCGGCGACGGCGGCTGCGGCCTGCCCGAGGTTCTGGCTACGGAGGTGCGCCACGATGAGCGCGTTCACCTGCCGCAGCAGCTTCGCCTCCTGCACCGCCTCGTTCATTGCTTCGTTCTCGTCGCTTCAATTCCCCACCCTCCGAAGGCCGAACAAATCCTTGGATGGCTTGCGCGGCGGATTCAGTTGGGACTGGACTGAAGCTGAGGAAGACTGGCAAGCTCCTGTCCTTTCTTCCTTCTTCGAGTATTCAAGGACGTCGATCCTCTGATCAAAAGAAAAAAAAAAAAAAAAAGGACGTCTTTCCTCTTACCTGCGGGCAATTTAATTTATTGCCACTCTTACGGTTGTCACTGCTCCAGTTGCCAGCGTAAAAAGTGTTCCTACATATTTGTCACTGATATGCAATTCGCCTCCTACGAATTTGCCATTTTCGCTGACGTGTCGTGCCAGATGGACTCACCAGCGTGGAAGGCAGCCTGGGAACCCTATTTGGGCGTGGCAAATGACCATACTGCCCCTCCTCCACCTCACGTTCTTTTCTGGGCAAGGCAAAGGACCGATCCCGGACCGAGAAGCCACCGACTCTACTCCAACTCACGCAGCGCCCTCTCCCTGAACCTCATGGCGGCGTGAGACAAGCGAGGGCGCCGACGACCTCCCGTCGGCGTGGCAGCCGCCCTCCTCGGCCGAAGTCGCCACCCCCCACTCCGGCTCCGCCCCCATCCTCCTCTCCCCATTTTTTCTTCGGCGCACACGACGGTCAAGTCAAGTCAAGCCAGACAGAGAAGGGGGCGCGGTGGCGGCCACTTCCCCAGCCACAGCCGACATATTGTCCCCATTCTTCGACGCACGACGAGCAGTAGGTACGAATCATACTCCCCTGAACACCATTTCGCCCAAATTTGCTAATGGCAAAGGCTACTACAGGAAGGTCAGACATTTGGCCTTGGTTAAATGAGCATCACAAACTAAAGTGGGCCAGAAGCAAGTTCTCAGAAAGAAATTAAATGTGACTACATAAACAACAACCTGGCAGAGTCCTGGAATTCTTGGATCAAAGAGTTCAAAGACTTGCCATTAGACTCACTAGCTGATGCAATCAGGATCAAGACTCTGGAACTTTGGGAAAGGAGAAGGAAGATTTCGGTAGCCATGTCAGGAGACATTCTACCAGCTGTAATTCATTAGTTAAATGTTGCCAGTAAGGGACTTGGTCATCTAAAAGTGCTCAAAGAAAATCCTAGAGAAGCTGAAGTTGCTGTATGGTACCAGGGTGAGGAAATTAGAAGGCATGTGGTTTACCTTGAAGAGCAGAAGTGCACATGTAGGGAGTGGCAAGTTAGTGGCAAGCCTTGCTCACATGCTCTTGCAGTGATTACTGTTGAGAGGCAGCCAGACATGAGCAAATATGTGCATGAGGCATACAGTGTGAAGAAGTTACAATCAGCTTATGTAGGAGTCATACCACACATAACTGACAAGCAACAATGGCCTAAAGTAGACAAGGGTTTCAAGGTTTTTCCACCTATGGTGAAGGACCCTAAACCACTAGGCAGAACCAAGAAGAATAGAACCCTAAACTGTTTGGAGAGGTCAGGCAAACCAACAAGACAAGTGACATGTAAGGGCTACGGTGAACTTGGCCATAGAGCAACTAGTTGGAGGTGTAGCCTCATAGGGACCAAGAAAAGGTATATTACATTTTCACTTCCTTTGTTTCTTGTCACACTTAATTACTAACTTTCACAAATATTTGTGTACAGGAAGAGAACCAAGAAGACAACAACAAAGCCTGGAAGGAAGAAGCAAAAAAACTATTGAAGATTCAGCAGAAGTGGGAGAGGAAACACCAAGAGCCAAGAGGGCAGCAGCCAGGAATGAAGTAGTAGTGGGAGAGGAAACACCAAGAGCCAAGAGGACAACAGCAAGGGAGGCAAAGGCGGCGGCAGAAGCAGCAGGAGTAACAAGAGAGTCAATAGCACAGCCGCCATGTTTGGCTCTTGTCCCAGTAGCAGCATCAATGGAGGTAGCCCCACCATGCCAGAGGTTTGTTGCCACCATTGACTTGACAAAAAACCATAAATACAAATCTAACTATTTGTTCAATGTAGGAGGTTGGACTTGGAGGAACCGGTGGGATTGGAGATAGTACCAGCAGTTGCTCCAAAGAAAATGACATCAAGAAAGAAACAACTAGCATCCAAGGTGAAGAAATCCACACCAATAAAGGCTGCCAACTAAGGCTTCTGTGTTGAATATTTTGCATGCGTGTTCTTTTCTGGATGACCTGTTATGTATGGACATGTATAACTAATGGCTATCATGTGCCACTACTTTAACCAAACTATTTAGTCATGGATCAAGGACCTATTTTGTATGGCCATGTACCACTAATGGTTGTCATGTGCCACTGCTGTAAGAACTAATGTCAATGACCGTGGACCTTTTATGTATGGATCTATGCATGTTGTTGGATCAATTATGCATGTTGTTATGGTAATTTGTGGCAGTTTGAGCTTGCATTTTCAGCATATATGCACCATGTTTCAGCATGTATTTTTCACCATGTTCCATATACATGTTCCATCAGTAGTACACAGGAGGAGTAGGGGTGAGAGAAGCTGCGAGAGTGCTGTGGGGTGCCTCTGACCCAACCGGGACCAGCCTGGGAACAAAAGAAAAGGGCGAGGGGTAGGAAGGTCATTTGCCAGGCCCAAGCAGGCCTCACAGGCTGCCTTCCACGCTGGCGAGTCCATCTGGCACGACACGTCGGTGAAAATGGTAAATCCGTAGGAGGCGAATTGCATGTAGTGGCAAATATGTAGGAGCACTTTTAACGCTGGCAACTGGAGGAGTGGCAACCATAAGAGTGGCAATAAATTAAATTGCCCCTTACCTGTGGATCCCGGGCAATGTCTCAGGAAATGACAATATTTATAGTGGGGAATCCAAATAAAAGAACAATTTAAAATGGATGGCTCGGAAGAAATTACAAAATTTATATTCCTCGCGCGAAACTTAGGGCCTGCTTGGTTGACATCTAAAATTTATCATAGCAAGGATTTGGGAAGCCAAAAGTTGAACAAAAACATTGTCATAGATTTGGCAAGCCAAATGTGGGAGTTTGACAAGTTTTGGTGACAAACAAAATACTAACCAAAATCATAGCTCGTTAAATCATTGGCATAGCAAATTTTAAAAGCGAACCAATCAGGCCCTTATTATATAGCGCTACAACATTTATCCTAAAATATAGGACTAGAAGAAGAAGTGATCTTAATTTGTTTTGAAGAAGAAAATACGTGTGTTGCCTCCATCGCAAACCCATTTCCCAAAATCAGTGACTTCGATCACCCTGAACGCTGCAGAGCAGCAAATGGTGTCACGCCCACAAAAAAGAATCTGGAATAGGTATCACGCCATTTGAGTGTAGTTTGAGCACCAAACTAATCGCATAAATACATAAGAACATCTTTAAGAGTTTCCTAAACATCCTTTTAATTCTTATTTTTTAGAAAGATGGGAAAAAACTCTCTCCAACAACTCATAATATTTACTTCTAATTTTTTAGAACTTGAGAAATTCCTCCCCCTTCTGCGTAACTTTACGCGGACGAAGCCACGCGCGGCGACGAAGAGGTTCACGTGGAAAAAAAGAAGACTGCAGAAAAAAAAACGTCAAATGGAACCGGCATTTAATTTTTTAGAAGTCAAATATTATGAACTATTGAAGATAGAACTTTTTTTTTCTTCTAAAACCTTTTTAAGAGTTAGCAAACATAAATTTTTTAGGAGAAATATTTAGAGAACTCCTGGAGATGCTCTAATGTCCAGGACACCCAAACGGCATCATACCAGCAAGATAGCAATGAACATAATAAACGGATCAAACGAACGGGTTATCCTAAGGGTTTCCCAGTTTGCTTAAGCATCATACTATGATTTGCTTCTCAGTGAATATGGGAGCAGCAACGTGTTCGACATTTTTGCATTCCAAGGGCAAAAAGGTAATCGAAACCGCATCAAAAGAAAAGTCAAAACAGCATCTCCTGGAAACATTGTTCCATGTCATTACAACTGGTCTCAATCATCCAGCCTGGTCTTAATCATCCAGCCTCGCAAAAAGCCTTCACGTATAAAAGAATGAGAAGTGTGTACATCTGATCTCGTTTATACTCATCTAAAATAATCTGCCTAATCCATATTCAGCATAAGAGGCAAAAAATATATATATATATATAGGCCCCTGCATTTTTTGAGAATACTGCCCAGAGAACCAAAGTTTGTAAGGACTACTATTGTCTAGCATCAAACGAAGTCTTTAACACCATCAAACATCCATGTTTAATGCTTTCACCTATGTCAGCAAGAACTGAAGCTTCCAGTGGTGTCACTGTTGTCGACATACAGCATTATTTCACTTCTAATACAAAACTTCCAGAATTGTAGGAATTGCATTCGAGTTTACGGCAGTCCAGCAGTCAGACCTCTTCAACTTTAACACACAAGCGCTCTGTGGGAAAACAAAAGAAAATTACAGTAAGAACACCAAAATCGTCTGAGCGCTGGTCACAAAAATACCAAAATTAAATATACCTTGTTCTCCAAATAATTTTGGTAATGCCCACAATCCATTAAAAAAATAAGAAATCGAAATCAGTGGTTTTATTCATGACACGCTAGTGCCATGTTTCATACAAAGGACTAATTGGTTTCTTTTACAGCAGTCATCCACAGGTAGACCAGATTGATGCACGCACAAGGCTGCTATTTGCTACTTGCATGTGCCAATTGTTCAACATCCTGCCAGTCTACAGGAAATAATGTGCGCACATTGGCATTAACAGAAGCAGGTTTCATGTATGGTGATAGCTTTATTCAAAAATATAGAAAAGTTACAGGCTACAACTTTAGTCAAAATTTTCATTGCACATGGGGTTTATGATACAACTTACAAAAGCAGTATACTGGAGATGCCAACTGACCTGAATGATGCCATATAAACTAAATTCTAAATGAGAAGTACCTGGGTACTTAAAATTAACCTGCATGGGATGCGGTAATATATGCCACTACATATGTGTGTGCATTCGATACAGTTATTTAGGAACCAGGAGAATAAGTATATATTTGACAAGGGATGGCGAAACATACTCAGATACTCGTAGCATACTATCATTGAGGTACCCCAAGCTGATGAGCTGAAAAAGACCCAACCCTCTGTACAAACCTTTCCATCCATCTTCAGCAATCAATCTTTTAACAACTTCCCCGGCTTTTGGCTTATTTTCATTATCCATAACCTAAAGGACAAGAAACAAAAACTCAGTGTAATCATCTGTAGCAACAAGTGCAGAGGGAGGAAGGGAGAGCACAACTGTCAAAATATAGGGTTGTGGCTTGTGAGAACTTTCAGGGTTGGTAGTTATATTATCAGTTTACCACTACAAACTTAGCATGTGACATTTGGGGATATGTGAAGCATGTTGTAAAAATGCATGACATATCCCGGGCATACTGTAGTCAGTTTGAATGAGCTAACTTTTGTTACTCACTACAAATAATGAGGTCATAGATATCAAGTTTTCCCAATGGAAGTTTCCTTTTTTTGACCTCATAACGGAAAGTCGGAAACCATGACAAATTGATCATGGTATGTCAGCAGAAAACAAACAGCTGTAAACATAGAAGTATATATTGTTTAATATAGACAGCATTCCATTCTAGCACCTCAATAGCCCACCATTGGAGGAAATATATCAATATAAAGAAAAACATTTAGGTCTTCAAGTCTGACATCGAATATACTTCCAAAACAAAATATCCATTCCCCTAAACTTAGTGGCATTGCATTGATAAGGAATCAAATTATAGCAACTGAGCAGCATAAATGTAAAGACAAGAATCATTTAGTCACAAGGGTAAGCCTCACAAAATATACCCACACAAATCAAATTACAAGAGTAATCAGCAAACAGAATGTCACACAGTACCTGCAGCCTGGTCTTGATTGTATCTATGGGAGTCGTAACAAAAGAGGTCACGGCACCGGCAAAAACCCCCCTGATGCTTGAACACCAACTAGTTTCAATTGGCTAGGAGCCTCTTCTTTGTCATGCAAACGGCCAAGAGCACTGTTCCAATATGTAAAGAGCATAATAGTTAACTATTTTGGCTAAGTTAACAAGACAAGGAATATAATCTTTCAACCATCAATCACAAAGAAATAAACTAACAAAAGGTACTGATTCCAGTAAACTTACATACACGCTCTTAACAGCATTAACAGCACACTAAGAGTTTCAATTTAGTTTTGCAGAGTGCATGGAACTATACGTGGTTTTGTGTAGTTACTTCATTCAGGTTGGTAATTTTCTCTATAAGCTGCCAGAGAATAGAAATATGTAAGATTATATTTCCACTTTTGGTCAGTTATCCAACTTATACTTCCGACTATTTATCTGTAAAGAAAATGTGAATTGATCGCTACGGACCAACACAGCACATGCATTGAGAATTTGAGATGCATTCTTGTTTTCTAAAAAAATATACATATTGACATGAAAGAACAAGCAGCAGAAAACAAAATTGCAAATATAACTGCAGTTTGGGCATCAAGTGGGGGAGTTTGAAAAGGTTTTGGACAGATGGGAAATACCAATTCATATAACTATTAAGCAGAAATGTAGTACTGGTCTTTTTCTCGTAAACATTACATAATGCACAGGGCTGAGAGGAACATAACGATGAACCAATCAGATAAGCTAACCTCCAAATTATGCGCTGGCTGGAACCATAACTCGCCCACCACACAGCACTGGATGGTGCGTAGGTCATAACAGACAGTCCAAATCCTCTGTACAGCCCCCTAATGCCATCAGCCTTTATGACCTTTCGAGCAACATCTATTCCACCTTTGTATCTGGCATGACCGGAATATCCTTGAACCATCAATTTCTGGCTAATCTGAAACATATCAATGCACAACACAATGAACACAGTAGTCTAGTGTTGTAATTAACATTTAACAGCAACATAATGTAAGATAATTTTTCTCTATACAACATCACATTCACATATAAGGCACATGATAGGCATACCACATCAATTGGAACAAAAATAGCCTGCGAACATGTAGACGCTGACAGACCAGCAAGGCCATTGGCAAAGGCGGCCTGCACCGGCTCTGACAGCTTGAAGGGCTCAACAAGCTTTAGCGAGGCTGCTTTGGTTGTCTCAAGCGCCGTGAGGAAGATGATCCTAGTTGGTACAGCCCCAATGATAACGGTAGCAAACCCCCGGTACAGCCCTGGCACGCCATCCATCTTGAGGATGTTCTTGAAGGTAGCCAGCGCATTCCTCCTCATGGCGTCCCCAGAGGCAACCTGCATCCGGGTCTTGACCACCGAGACAGGGTACAGCGCCACGGTGACGCCGCTGAACATGCCTGCGCCCACCACGTAGAGCTTGGTCTTGTCGAGGCTGCAACATTTCAGCACCACGATTTGAGAACAGTAACAGAATCAGAAACAACGGAGTAAGCTACAAATCCCCAAATTACGCCTCGTCCAGGAGGATGAACAACCATGTCAAATCCCCAAACCACAATTCCTAATCCTAAGGCGGTAAAGCCAATCCGGAATAGGGTGGAGGACACAGTTCAACGATCGGAGCTAAATCTCCTAGAGACTAGGACTGCGAGAAAGGGGAAATCGGCACGAAATGGAAACCTAAGGCCTCATTTGTTTCTACCGGATTGGCCTGTTCCGGGTGGATTGCTGCGGCCCGTTTCCAATCCGGATGTGAATGAGAATGTGCGTTCATTTCAGCCCGGTCTGGAACCAAAACTGGCCTCACTTCTCCTCGGCATGGCGAATGGAACACCTTACCTCTGGATCGGTGCCGCTCTTTGGAAGCTTGAGGCAGCAGGCACCATCGACTCGACAGAGCAGCAGAGCGCAGCGGCGACATGGCGCATGGCACAAGCGCAAGGAGACGGTGACCCTACATCCTTCCCCTTCCTCCTCCTTCTCGCCGGTGATCCCCTCGCTCTCCCCTTCGTCCTCGTCCTCTCTCCCTCCTCTAGGGTTCTTTGATCTTGAGCACGATGATCTCCTGGTAGTTCGATGGATGATGATGTGATCAGTAGTAGAGGCTAGAAGTGGGCGCCGATCTATCCTACTCCAGGTTGACCTAGGTCACAGGCGTGTTCTTCAGTTCTTCGATCTGGAGAAGAACTCTGACATATGTGAAGGAACTATATCACTGTGATTAAACAATTGATACTTGTAGTTTAGTTTGTGTCACTAGTATTTCCTCAAGTCCGGCTATCCACTACATGCATTTTATGGTGGCATTGGCATTTAGATGGTATAGTTTGCTTTTGTGAGCGCCTACATTTTTCCAACTAGGAACGTTTGATGTATTCTACTATAGTTGTCAGCAGGTTGCCAAGTTGAGTCCCCAAATTTATTTATTTTTATTAATCTTCTGGCCTAGAATCATGGAGAAAAGGGTGAAATTGACCTGCACTGATCCCTGATTTGAAGAACAGTGGCTTCAGTCGCGATTCTTCGTGCACACTATATGACATATGCTTCTATATGACTAATCTTTATTAGAGCTTCTATATGACATGGTTAATAATATTTAGCTTCTATATGACTATAAAATTATATGCTTCAGTTCTACAATGCGTCTCTCACTGCGAGATCGTATTAGAAAGAGGAGGGAGGAAGAAGACGATGACATGATGCTATTTATTTTCCCCGCCTTATATCTTATGAGTTCTACTAGAGGGGGAGAAAGGAAGAAACGTCACACTTCGGAAGAAACAGGCGAGGTTAAAGTTCGTAGACTCCTCGAGGGACATGTCAAGAACTGTCAAGTTGCATTTAGGATGGAACCACACATCTTTAGAGAATTGGCAACTTATCTTAGAAGGAAAAGGCTTGTTGATACTAGGATCACGGTGGAGGAGAAGTTGGGTTTCTTCCTATACATGTTAAGTCACAATGCCTCGTATGAGGATCTCCAAGTGTTCTTTAGGCACAACAATGACACCTTCCATCACCACATCAACCACTTCTTCAAGGTGGTCATTCCTGCACTCTCTCGCCGTTACCTTCAAGCTCCCGATCCTATTCAAGTGCATCAAAAAATCCAAGACAATCCTAGATTCTATCCATTTTCAAGAATTGTCTAGGTGCCATTGATGGAACTCATATTTCTATTTCCATAGCCTCTGAGAAAGCTTCTCCTTTTAGAAATAGGAAGGGCACACTAAGCATTAATGTGATGGTGGCATGTGATTTCGATCTCAACATTACTTTCATTTCTAGTGGATGGGAGGGATCGGTTACAGATTCCAGAGTGCTACGACAGCTATGAGCAAGGGCTTCCAAGTACCTCCAGGCAAATTCTATCTGGTTGATGGAGGGTATGCGAATACTCCATCTTTCCTTGCTCCATATCGAGGAGTTCGATACCATTTGAAAGAATTTGGGGCTGGACATCGAAGGCCGCAGAACCCAAAGGAGCTCTTCAACCACCGCCACGCACTACTAAGGAACCATGTGGAAAGGGCTTTGGGGGTGCTTAAGAAGCGCTTCCCCATTCTGAAAGTTGCCACGTTCCACATGTTGAAAAATCAAGTAAAGATACCTATAGCTGCTGCCATCTTCCATAATCTAATCCGATTACATCATGGAGATGAGGAATGGTTAGATCATCAATCGGATAATATCCCTCCAAGTACCTTTGTTGTTGTGCCAAGTGGTGATCAAATGAATGACCTAAATGTGGGTTCAGTACAAGGCAACGCTTTAAGAGACACCATCGCCCAAGAAATGTGGGTTCAGTACCAGCAACATTTAAATTAGTCTTTGAATAGGTTCTAATAAGTTAATAAGCTTGTAATAAGCTTGATTGTAATTAAGCAGAGACTTCTTTTTAGTCTTTAAGCTTGGATATAATGAGCTTTTGTCATGAATAAGCTTGTAATAATTGAATAAGCTTGTAATATAATTGAATAAGCTTGTAATAAGTGAATAGGCTTGTGTCATATTTGATAGCGTTGGTTGAAAAAGGCTCCCCAAAGTTGAACATGATTGCAAGGGGGTCACCAAAGATGCATAAGTTCCTGGCTACAACAAGTGCTATTAAAAAGAAGGTTTCTCCTAAATGTAGGAAGGCAAAGAAGACTGGAGGTTCTCTGAAAGGTATGGTGTTTAATTCTCTGTTATTATTGTTGTTATTTCTCTGCTGCTGTTTGCTACTAAAAAGAAGTTTCTTGAAGTAATTCTCTGTTGCACAGTTTATTCCAACATCTGCTATTATAGAAATTTTAGTAAACCTGTAAACTGTTATTTCTATTTGCTGATTGTTGGTAGCCTATAAGTCTGTCAATAATAAACTGGTAACCTGATGTCTGAACATTGTTTATGTAGTAGTAAAGCAAAGAGCGGACTAGAATCCGGCCCTTGAGAAGTTCCTGGTAGACATTCTCCATGAGTATAAAGATAGTGGCTACAGAGGTGACAACGGTTTGAACTCTGAAGGGTGGAATAAGATGGTGAAGGAGTTCCATCTGAGGAACAAGTATGCCATCTACACAAAGAGTCAGATTCAAGACAAAGGAGGGCAGCTTTGGGAGAGCTTTATGATGGTAGGTTCACTTTCTATAGTTGCAAACAGTGCCAATCAATATATTCTTTCTGCTTCTCACTTTAGTATTTGTTTGTTTCTATCTTGCTGCTCTATATTATCCTGTGATTCACTTGACTTGTCTAGTAGTCTTTGATCAAGTATTTTTATAGTGCTGATGACTAAGCAACAATATGCTAGTTGAAGTTTATATTTTCTACTGATGGAACAATTACAAGAATGCTTTTCTACTAGTGCTGATGACTAAGCAACAATATGCTTGATTTGTAGAGTTAGGTTATATGATTCTACTTGTCACAATTTATAGATGTCAGAACAACAACTCTACATCCATGTTCTTCTCATTTGTACTATCATGATGTAGAATTAAGTTACTAGAGTATATGTTGTTGCACATGTGCTATTTTCTCAGGATGAGTATTGCTTTGTTCTGCCATGAGGCATATGTTTAGTCTTTAACATTGATGAACTAACCTAAAAGTTATGCATTGTTGCACACTTAGTTCTGCCATGAGACATCTTGCAGTAAATGATAAGATTGCCCGAATTCAAAAATATAGCTTGATGAACTAACCTAAAAGTTATCGTATAGGTCATTTGGCTGAAGGTACTTATAATCTCACTTCCCTTGGGCCACCATAAGAAGAGAACCACTTCAACAAATTCATGAAGTAGAAGACTTGGACAACATTGAGGTTCATGAGGTACTAGATGAAGATGATTCAATCACTGAGATGCAAACAAGTGAGCCTGTAGCTGTTGAAAGAAGTGGACAGCGAGATTCTCTGTCATGAGATGAAGAAAATGAGGTCGTAGCTGTTGAAAGAAGTGGGCAGCGAAGAACTAATACTACTACATCAAGCAAAAAACACGAAAAGGAAGAAAAGAGGCCTAAGAAGGGTGAAAGGATTGAAGAAATGATGGGAAGATACCTAGACATGAGGACTAAGCAAGTACAAGATGAGTCTGTAGATCTAGCCAAAGAAAAGGAGCTTACTGAAGGTAATGACTTCTCTATCAAAAGGTGTATATCCGTTCTGAGCACAATGGAAGTGGCAAAGGAAGAGAAGGCAAAAGCATTTGCAGTTTTCATCAAGAGCAAAGAAAATAGAGAGGCCTTCCTAAGTGGGTGTGAACTAGATCGAGAAGCAACTTTGGTTTGGCTCAAAAGTGCGATGGACTAACAGGTCAGTCTACTTAATTGCTGAAAACTTGATGTTTTCTTTCTATTTGACTACAAGAGTCCTTTAGTCACTACAAAACTGAAAGAAGAAATATTTTCTAGTTCTGTGTAACCCTTAGAGATGAGAACATTTTGATAGTTGAGTTGCTAGTAAGAGGATTTGGACTGTAGAGATGCATTTCTAGTCAGGTTGAAAGCTGAGATCTGCTCCTTTCATTTAGCTTGAAAATTGCTGTCCTTTTACAGTAAGGTTGAAAGCTGAGATCTACTCCTGTCATTTAGCAAATGAAACATTTTTCTTTGAATTGTCAGTTTGTCACTAGTTGTCTATTTTCACCATTCTGATTATGTTTCCACCATTCCTAGTTAGGTAAATGAAATGTGTCTCATGACTTTAGTAAAGTTATTATTATTATTGTACATAATGTGCATCATAAGTTAATAATAATGTCTATCCCTTGCTGTGAATGTACATGTTACTATGTTGTTGTTTGCATCAAGGGACATTTGAACCTCATGGTTAAGTTGGATTTTTTTATAACCACAGTAATGGCCAAAAGAATTTATATATCACAAACTGGAACAAGTGATGTTTCTTATTTGTGCATGTTAGGGCTTGTTTTTTTCTCTGCCTTTTAATCTTACAATTTCAATCTAATAGCAGCTGCTGATTCACCGAGGATGCAGTCACTTCCATTTCTATATGTTAGGAAGTTAGCAAAGTTTTTGCCATGTTAGTACTTAAGATAACTATAGCCAGTTTTAGATCATAGAAAAGAATCATCACCGGCATGGTTAATGAACTCCACATAAGTAAACATGGTTGCCAGCGCTGGACTGAACTTGTGGCAAAATTTGGTTGCATCATTCTTCTGGATCAGTTTGATAAGAAAGGCAGAGAAACCATTTGTCCTTTCAGTTTGATAAGATAGGGATAGAGCATGTGAAGGCACTAATTAGTTTCATAACTAATCAAAACTTTTAAACTGACACAATGATTTAATTATGCTTTGGTTGACTACATTGCGAGTCATTTTCGTTCAATTATTCATTTTGTAAAAATGCTTCTTTGTCATTTTCAATTGATTCAAGAAACATTCGATTGGAAAAGTGCAACACTTGA